CTGCACACGGGAGCTCCCGCCATATCTCCCCGCCCCCAACGCAGCACCATGGCGCCCAGGCCCTCGCCGGTCCTGCGCGCCGCCTGGCTCCTGGCCCTGGCCCTGCAGTGGCCGTCCATCGGCGCGACGAGGGCTCTCAGGAGGGGAAAAAACACACACGGACACAAGTCATCCTCGATCCCCAGGAAAAGATGGGAGAGAATATGGGAATGGGGCGGGAAGACAAAAACCCAGAAGATGTAGGAAAACATGGGGAATCTTGTTAATTTGTGTGTATTTATTCGTGTGTTCTGGGGCCCCTTCAGGCTCGGCGGCACTCGCTGCGCGCGGCGGCGGCCTCGGCGAACAGCAGCGCCGGCGCCGCGGGCCTCAGGGCCGCCGCCGCCGCCGCGGCGAACGAGACGCGCGCCGGCAGCGCCGGCGGCGCCGCCGCCAACGCCAGCGCGCGCGTGCCGCGGCCGGCCCCGCGCGTGTACTTCCTCTTCCTGGCCGTCGACAAGGTCGGGCCCTGACCCACTCCTCCCGGAGGAGGAGGAGGAGGAGGAGGAGGAGGAGGAGGAGGAGGAGGAGGAGGCGGAGGCGGAGGCGGAGGCGGAGGCGGAGGAGGCGGAGGCGGAGGCGGAGGCGGAGGCGGAGGAGGAGGAGGAGGAGGAGGAGGAGGAGGAGGAGGAGGAGGAGGCTCCCTCCCGTGCCTCCCTCGCTGTTTCCCCCCCATCGTCCCTCCTGCATCCTCCCTCCTCTCTCTCTCTCTCTCCCTCTCTCTCTCTCTCTCCCTGCCTCCCTCCCGCCCCTCCCTTCCTCCCTCTCCCCCCTCTCCGCTCCACGGTTACTCAACATGAGTGCCGCGTCCTCTCCCCCGGTTCTGTGTGAGCGGGGCCCTTTTTCTCCCGCATGCTGTTAGCTTACGCACAGGATTTCAACAAGCGATGCGTTGTAGGTTGTTGTTGTTGTTGTTGGTGGTGGTGTTATTGTTGTTGTTGTTGTTGTTGTTGTTGTTGTTGTTGTTGTTGTTGTTGTTGTTGTTGTTGTTGTTGTAGAACTCTCACTTCTGAATAATACTTAATTATTGCTGATCCCCCCTCACCGGTGCATGCTGTCTTTTCTCAATCAAAGTGTGCCCCTCGACGCTCGCACCCTGTTTTTCGACAGGGAAAGTCTTGGTGCTCAAACTGTGCCCCTGGCCCCCCGGATTACAACAACAACGGCTCCCGCCTGAGACTTCCTTTAAATTGACTCAGGACCCCGCTCCTGAGACTTCCTCACAATTTAATCCGGATCGGTGCTCCCGCCTGGGATCTTCGCAATTTAGTCAAGACCCCCGCTCCTGAGACTTCCTCACAATTGACTCAGGAACGGCGCTCCCGCTTGAGACGTCCTCGCAATTGAGTCAAGACTTCGTCGCAATTTAGTAAAGACCCCCGCTCCCGCCAGAGAACCCCTCACATTTTATTCAGGAATTGCGTTTTCTCGCCTGTGACTTCCATGCAATTTATTCAGACATCGCGCTTTCGATGCTCAGGAAACACGCTGCGCCAAGGACGCCGTTACAATTCTTGACGCTTCGCGTATCCCCACCAGCCCTCCCGCCGCTGGCGCTTCCGCCTGCGGCTGTAAAAAAAAAGTATCCCCACCAGCCCATCCTACACCAGGCACTCGAACAAAGAGCGCCGATGATCGGCAGCTGTTCTCCTCCCCTCTTCCTCCTTCTCCTCCGCCTTCTCCTCCTCCTCCTCTCCTCCTCCGCCCTCTCCTCCTCCTCCTCCTCCTCCTCCTCCTCCTCCTCCTCCTCCTCCTCCTCCTCCTCCTTCGCCTCTTCCTCCTCCCTGGTGGCGTATTGGAAGTGTCTTCGAACGTTTTGGTGGGCTCTTGGGCCTTGCGGGCGGGCGGGCGGCGCTCCGCCCGCCCGCGCGCAGGGCCCAAGAGGGGGTCCAAGACGTCTCTCGGAGCCATCTTGGAGGAGATCGATCAACGAAGGGGGGTTCCTAAATTTCAGCCCCCCCCTCAGGAGCCACGATCCTCGTGAGGGGTGTCGAATTTTAGCCCTCCCAGGGGTCGATCTTGGACGCTCTGACCGATCGCGGCCCCCCCTGTCCAGGTCAGTGGGGAGGGGGTAGGGGGAGGGGTAAACCCCTCCCCGAAGGGGAAGAAGGAGGGGTGGAAGAGGAAACGCTCTAAACCACCGACGCCCAGAGGGCTGGTGGGATTTACTTGGTAATCGCGCTGTCGCCATACTCAGGCATCCCGCTTGAATGTCCCACCCGCCCGACCCGCCCGTCAGGGGATCGCCCGCCCGTCGTGGGCTCCCGCCCGAGACTTCCTTCTGGAACGGCGCTTTCGCTTAGGATTTCCTCGAACGTTCACGCTCTTACCTTCATGCTCCTCCTCCCTCTCCCTCCTCCCTCCTCCCTCCTCTCCTCCCTTCTCTCTCCCTCCTCTCTTCCCTCATCCTTATGTCTCTCTGCCCTATCCCCTCTCCCTCCTCTTCCTTCTCCCTCCCCTCTCCTGCCTCCTCCCTCCCTCTTTCTTTCTCTCTCTCCTCTCTCTCTCTCTCTTTCTCTACCTCTCTTATCTGTTTGTGTTGGGGGGTTCTCTCTCTCTCTCTCTTTCTCTCTGCCTCTAATCAACCGCCCCCCTCTTCGCTCCTTCTCTCCTGGCGTTTTCCCTCTTCCTTCGTCACTCCCCCTCCCTTCCTTCCACTCTCCCCTGTTCTCCCCCTCCTCTTCTTGCAGGGCCCACACCAATTCCAATGGCGGGCACATGTACGCTCACGAAAGATTGTCCGCCCGTTCAGGTTTGCCCGCTTGTCTAAGCCCGCCGCCCCCGGAGAAGAGAAATAATTCCCCCAAAGGGGGTGTAATCGAGGACAACAATGGCGGGTATCGAGGGTGTGGGGATCCGTTTTGAATGACAAACGGGCAAGTAAGAGCGAACAGTCCTATACTGATTGTTATTGCTGCTGTTGGTGTTGTAGATTGTTGTTATTGTTGTCGTCGTTGTTGTTGGTGGTGGATGAGAAAACAGCTTTGGCGTTTTATAGGCAGCGCCGACTCTAAATATATCAAAAGACTGAAACGAAGTGGACTGGAGTGAACCGAGGTATACTGGACTGGAACAGACTGGACTAGACCGTGGCGGACCCTATTCCACTTTACGTTACGCTTCTCTATTATACCTGATTCGGCTGTGCTATCTACCCTACCTTACTCTGCTCCACCCACTCTATCCCGATATACCTACTCTACTTTACCCGACCCTACTCTACTCTGCCCTGCTCTGCTCTGCTCTGCTCTGCTCTCCGTGGCCACTTTGGCTGAAGATATCTGAAGATGCTGACTATTCCGAGGTGTAAGACGGAAGCCGCTGGTCCGCGGCCAGTTCTCCATAAAAGGGCGGGCGAAGGTATCGCAGACGCGGCGCAGTCGGCCCCGACAGGCCTTAAGAGGTTGATGTGCCGAAGGCGGCATCCGATGACCGGCCGACAGCTAGAACGGTCGACGGCGGGCCTGACCTTCTTGGCTCCGACGTCGCGGGGGTCCTGGGGCACGCTGCGAGCTCGCTGCGATGACGCGAGGGGCGAGTTCGCCCGCACCTGCCCTCGGTGGATGGGTGATCTTGCCGAGATCCGGGGTGGCGAGGAGGGGGGTGAGGGCTATGAGTGTGAGGGAGGGTATCGTGGCCGGGGCAGTGGGACCTCGCAGATAGCACGGTTTTTTCTTCTGCTTCTTCTTTTTTTCTTATTATTATTCTTAGTAGTATGATTAATATTATTAGTAGTAGTACTAACCATGAACCTCGGAGAATAAACCCCCAGGGATAGTAAAGTTTGGGTTTTCGGGGAGATAATAAAAGTTGCCCGCCAGAGCCAGCATAAAAGAGATATCAAGAGGAAAAAGCCAAATGTATCTTGAGGATTGTCTCGGTTGAGACATCCTCAATGAATTGCTTGTTTCGCTTGAGACATCCTCGAAATATTTGTCTGTTTCGCTTGAGACATCTTCAAATTATTGCTTATTTCGCTTGAGACATCCTGGAGGGAGGAGGAGGAAAAAGAGCAAGAGAAGGAGAGGAGAAGGAAATAGCAAAAATCCAAAGTTTAAAATTTATTCGATTTAATGTGTAAACGCTTGATGAAAATTAAAATTTTCATCTGCTCGTGTAGGGTAGCTCACGCGCCTCGTTTTCCCAGGATACTCAACCCCAGCGATAAACAAGGTCAGGGCGCCAGGGGGAGGAGGAGGATAATGAGATAGAGAGACAGAGAGAGAGAGAGACAGAGAAAGAAAGAAAGAGAGACATAAATAACTACAAAGAGACAGAAGGACATCGGTTTCGCTTGAGACATCCTTGAGGGAGGAGGAGGAGGAGGAGAAAGAGCAAGAGGAGGAGAGGAGACGGAGATAGCAAAAATCCAAAGTTTAAAACTTATTAGATTTAATTTGTAAACGCTTGATGAAAATTGAAATGTAAATCTGCTCGTGTAGGGTAGCTCACGCGCCTCGTTTTCCCAGGATAATCAACCCCAGCGATAAACAAGTTCAGGGCGCCAGAGGGAGGAGGAGGAGAAAGAGATAGAGAGACAGAGAGAGAGAGAGAGACAGACAGAGAAAGAAAGAAAGAGAGACAGAAAGAACTACAAAGAGACAGAAGGACATCGGTTTCGCTTGAGACATCCTGAAACAACGTGTTAGCTTCGCTTGATGTTGTTATCTCAACATAAGAAGGAAGTAACCTCGATGGCGAACTTTTCCCGTGATAATGAAGTTCGGCCTCCGCGCCCCCGCGCCCCCGACCAAATTCTGATTGGTCGACGATGAAAAATTCTAACTACTTAAGGGGGGGGGTACATTATCATCGTGGGCATGGGGTTATCTTCTCGTTAGTACTATTATTATTATTATTACTATTATTATTATTAATATTATTATGGTTATTATGATTTATTATTGATACTATTATTATAATGTTTATTATTAGTACTATTATTAGCACTACTATTATTAATATTCGTTATACTATTATTATTAATAATATTATTATTATTGTTATTATTATTGTTATTACTGTTATTATTGTTATTCTTGTTATTCTTGTTATTCTTGTTATTATTATTTTCAGTACAATCTTATTTTTCCCCGCTTTCCCAGACTGTGCTTGCACTTATCGGGGTCCTCCACTTCTCCCGTGCGGATCCGAGCCCGCGCGCCGGTCCGGCCGGCATGCCGCCGCCCATCCGCCGCCCGTCACCGCCCCCCGTCGGGGCCCGTGCGCCGGGCCCGCCGGCCCGTCGCCGCCCGTTGCTCCGCCGCCCGTTGTTCCGGTGCGGCGGGCTCGTCGCCGGCCGTCGCCGCGCGTCGCCGGCGCCGCGCCGCCCCGCCGCCGCCGCGGTTCGGTCGTGGTTTTTGTCCCCGGGCGCGTTGCGCTGCAGTCGGGGCGCTGGAGGAGGGACTCTTTTCTTCGGGGAGGGGCTCAGTGTTCCTTACTGTCGTTGTGCAGTGTGCCTCCGGTTGTCCTCAGGTTGTCGATGGCAAGTCGAAATTGGACTCATGGAGGAAAGGGGCCTCGTTCCTCATTCAGGGTTCCTTCGGTCAACACCCCGACTGTACTCACAGAAAGCCGACTCGCAAACGTGAGGACAAAAACGTGGCTTCCTACATGTGATGGATCGTGAGAATCCCTCGCGGCGGGTCCGGGCCATTTGCGAGCAGGCATTTGGCGAGTGGTGGGAGGCGCTTGTCTTGTAGCTTTGCTGATGCGATTCGCGCAGCTTGCATCACACTCATTGCGTCACATTGGTTCTGCTTGCTAAGATAGTAATTATTAGGATCCCCCCCCCCCCGAATTGACGACTCCTCCTTTTCGCATTGCAATGTTCAGGAGGGGAAAAAACACACAGACACAATTAATCGTCGATTCCCCAGAAAATATGGGAAAATATGGGAATTGGGCGGGAAGACAAAAACCCAGAAAATATGGGAAAATATGGGGGATCTTTTTATTTGTGTGCATGTATTTGTGTGTCCCAGGGCCCCTTCAAATGTACATATGATTTTGCCCCGTCGCTCATCCTACATACGAATTGCAGCCATCCCAGGCAGGCCGGCATCGCCCCACCCCGCCCCGCTCCACTCGTCTTCTGCCGGAGATGCGCGGGGTGTGTTCTAGTCTTGGCCAGGAGGCGTCAAGCTTTGGACCCCACCGACCCCCCCCCCCGTAGAATCTTAGCGACCGATTTTTGGTCAGGGAGCGGTCCGGCTCCGATGGGCTCGTACCCCGTGCAATATCATATATATATATATATATATATATATATATATATTGATAGCGGTGTGATACTTGCTCCGTCCCATACAGAACAGGCCTGGAAAGCATTCCAACTTGGACCCATTCACGGCTCAATCACTCCGCATGGGTCACTTGAGATTGTCAGTGTCATCTTCGTCATCTTCGATGCTCCATTGTATTCGTTCTCGCTTTGCTGCGGCGTGGCCCTGGAAATCCTTATCCGAGGCTGTCGCTCTTGATTCGCTGGCTGGCCATCCCAGAGAGCTCACGAAGGCTCGCGATTCCGCATCAGGGCACTTCTGCATCCTCATCGGTGGTCCGCGGCATGCGGGACCAGCTATGGAATTCTCCGCCGATGGTCAAACACTTTAGCACCTGGCAAGTATTATGCGCGCACGTACGTTTATCAAGAATCAGCTGTTTGCAATGATCCTTCGCAGAAGCATGGGTCGAAGTGCGCACGCGCGCGTCGTCGCGCGGATGCCGAAATCCTTCAAGACGCCTCGGCTTCGTAAGGATTTCAAAACCGAGTGTCCCGAAGCATGTAAAACACATGGTTTCGAAACAAGAGTGTGAGCTTGCGCTCGGGCTCTCGAGAAGTCTTGAGAAAGCCAGGTGTTGTTCAACATTTTCATGAGTTGCTACCAAGCGGGCCTCTCGCGCGCGCATGTCGGAATCGCTCGAACGCCCTGGCGCGCGTGTTGTCGCAGAGCCCCTTTGCGAACCATGGTGCGAGGTGCACGCGCGCGCGTCGTCGCGCGCGCATGCCCAAATCCCTCAACAACCCTAGGCTTCGTACGGATTTCAAAATAGAGTGGCCCGAAAACATATAAAACAGATGGCTTCGCAATCAGAATGTTAAACCTACTAGTAGCTTACGTTCGGGCTCTTGTGAATCCTTAGGGACATCAGCGGCTGTTCAACATGTCGATACCTGGCCACCAAACGGGCCTGTCGCGCGCGCATGCCAGCAAAGCCGTGCAAACGGGTCGGCGGCGGTCCCAAGAGACCGCCGAGACGGTCCAAGATGGCCTCCAGCGGCCCCGGGCCCCCGCTAGACGCCCGAAGACTGCCCGAAGATCACATAAGATCACCCCCAAGAGGCTTGCGAGCCGCGAGGAACTTTGATTTACCATTGGCTATTGTGTGATAGCGGGCTTCTCGGTTATCCGGTTTCCCGGACGTCCGAGAGTGCCCGGGAGGCACCGAACGTCGCTCCAAGACGACCCAGCAAAGGAATCCTGACAGTCCAAGAGAGCCCCACGACGGCCCAAGAGAGCTCGGCAACTGCCTGGACCCCCATGACGGGCCGAAATTGCTCCAAGACGCCCTCCAGAAGCACTCAATCTGCGACCCGAGACCGCGATTCGCGGCACGGTGGCCCAAGGAACCCCCAAGAGGCCGCCAAAAGGCGCCAGGGGCGTCTGCAGAGGCACCCAAGGAACCCTCATCGTTCTCATCTTGCTCCCCGATCTCGTCCTTCTGTCCCTCCTCATCCCCCTCCCTTTCCCCCTCGTCCCCCTCGTTCCCACCCTCCCCCCCATCCTTCTCCACCCGCCTCCCCCATCCCCTCCCCCTCTCCGTGCTTCCCTGCCTTCATCCGTGCTCTTCCCTTCTCGCCCTGCCCATCCTTTTTCCCATGCCCCTCCTTCTGTTTCCTCCCAGCGCGTCCACCCTCCCTCTGCACGATGCTGCCCCTACTTCTCACGTAGAGGGTGCGTGTGTGACAAGGTGTCGAACCTGGGGGTGTGGCGCTCCTTCCTCCAGAACGCCCCCCGGGAGCAGTTCAGGGCGTTCGTCCACTGCAAGCTGCCGTCGTGCAACGCGCAGGTGCAGGGCACCGAGCTCATCGCGGTGCCGACGGTGCCGAGCTACTACTGCACAGACCTCGTGTCTCCGATGAACCAGCTGTTGAACATAGCGATCCAGTCGGACATAACCTTCCACTCCGCAGACAAGTTCGCTTTCATTTCGGACTCCACGCTTCCGGCCAAGCCGTTCGCGTCTATCTATTCGACGCTGAGCAATCGGCAGGGCTCCGACTTCTGCGTGTTCCCCTCCTTCGAGTGGGCGGACGTGGTCGGGCCGGACGGGAAGCTCGAGGTGGTAGCCAAGCATCACCAGTGGGTAACCTTGGAGCGCGCGCACTCGGAGTTGTTGCTGAAAGACTGGTGGAGCGGAAAGCTGCACAACTTGATGGCCCATTTCAGGATTCGGTCACAGGTGGAAGTGTCGCACCCGAACCAGAAAGGGCATGTTTCGAGAGGCCCACGCAGCTTCTAGGTGAAAGCACTTGTTTCACCCTGGGCGGCACATGCTGCAAGGGCTTTCTCTGGTTTCGATAAGGGCCCCGTCGAGTCGAGGCTAGATCAGCTTCGCGGATCGTCTGCTGCAACCGTGGAGCCGTGCAGTGCCTCGTCCCCGGCTCCCGTGCCAATTGCCCTCATGGTGTTGCGTGGTGCCCCTGTGTGATGCCCTCCGGTGCCGATCAGATGTGTTGCCCGTGTGGTGCCGTGTCCGACCCCGTTGCCCGCGTGGTCCGTGCGCCGAATGCTCGGGCCCGTTGCCTGGGCAGTGCCGTGTGGTGCAGGACGGCCAGTCTCGGGCCCACTGGCCACGTGCTGCTGTGTTGTCTTCCGGGCCTCTTCGGCGGGGTGATGCATCCTGCCGATGAGCAGGATGAGGGCAATGATGAGGAAGAGGCGGAACAGCAGCAGGAACAGGAGGGGAAGATGGGGAGGAGCAGGATGCGTGCTCGGGTTGCGGAACTGTCCTTTTCTGGTCTCGGTGTTATGTTTCAGCCTGCGATGCAGGGGCTCTCTGAAACTGGGTCCTGGCTCGCAGGACGGGAGGCCAGGCGACGTCGGGGCTCGGCTGCCTGTTGGGCCAGCCTCTTTGCAGCTGGGCGCCATCCCCTGGCGCAAGTTGCAACAGGCTGTGGCCCTCCCTCCCCCCTCGCGCCCGTCCCGTCCACCCCTCCCGCCTTTCATCCCGCGCTATCTCCTTTCCCTCCCTCCCGCCCCTTCCCTCCTTCCCCCTCTCCCTGCAAAAGAGCCGAGTAGTCATGTTAGTCTCGCTGCAGCCCCAGTCGCCTGGCCTGCCTATCGCTGGCGTCCCAGTTCAGAGTCCCCGAGGATGAACCAGGACGCGCACAATTCGTGCGGTAGGGGGTAACCAGCCCACCTCCCTTGGAGGACGAGGAGGAGGAGGAGGAGGAGGAGGAGGGCAGAGCGAGCAGAAAGAGGACGAGCGGGTGGATGAGGGGAATGAGAATAATAATGCTAATGATAATATTCAGCATGGGGATGACGAGGATAAGAAGGAGGAGACGAAACAAGTAAGGAGTAAGAAGGAGGAGAAGGACATGGACCAAAATTCATCCAGGATGCATCAACGATGCTACATAGTACCCTCCCGTTCTTTTCCACCTCTTTTATACGTCCCTACAGGTGCTATTTTTTCATTGCGGGCGTCGCCAGCCACCTAAATTGAAAGACGAGCACCGATGGGCATACCATTTAGGCGAGAGCCTGTGTTTGAAACCATTGTGTTCTCCATGCGGCAGTGCTAGAAGTGTCAATGCACATTGCCATCTAAATTCGGGAAGTGTTAAGCAAGAGCCCAACTTTTCAAAGGAACCGACTCAGTATAGTCACATGCAAACAAGACTGCACTGGCATTTCGCGCCGTGCACCCTGGCCCTGCAATTTCAGCCTGCGGGCGGAACGAGAGAAAGGTACACGAGGAACACGGCAATAACTCAATGTTGCCGTTTTCGTCGTTGTTATAATTATGCTACTCTTTTTCCTTCACTCATATACCCTCTCCCTCTTGCTCGCCTTACCCTGCGAACTCTTCTGCGTCCTCCTCTGTTTTTTGTTGTTGAGGCTCCTCCTTAGAAAGCCTGTCGGGAGATTCACGAAACCTTTTTAAGAACCTCTTGGAGGCTTCTCGATGCATACTGGTCGCCTTTTCGGGGCCTCTGAGGGGTTCCTGGAGCCACCTTGCTGCGAACCGCGGTCTCCCTCAACGGCCGGGTCACAAGTTGGAGTGCATCGGGGGAAGTTTTGGGCCTTCTTGGGCCGCCATAAAACTCTCCTCGGGCCATTTTGGGGCCCTGTTGGGCCGTCTCGCGGCTCTCTTGGATTGTCTGCAGTCCCTGCTGGGTCGTTTTGAGGCGATGCTCGAGACCTCTCTAGGGCGTTCTCGGACGCCCGGGAGACCGCAGAGCCGAGCATCGCAACGCCACACAAAAAACCATAGATCCGAAAATCCATGCTGCATGCGTTTGGAGGGCCTCTGGGGTGTGTTCTTGGGGCCGTCTTCGGGCGTCTGGTGGGTGTCTGGGGCTGCTCGGGGCTCTCGCGGGGCCGTTTGTAGGGGGGCCACATGCGAACCCTACCCCTACCCCCCACGATTTCTGAGGCGGAGGGTGGGGTTCACGTCGTTCGGGAGCTCCCGAGCGAAGTGAACCCCACCCTCCCCCCCAGACATCGTGGGGGGTAGGGGTGGGGTTCGCATGTGGCCCCCTAGTCTGGCCGCCCTCCGGACCGCTTTGGGCCCGCTGGCGACAGGCCGTGCAGCGACAGCTGGGAGGCCTGGACGCTCGGGGGGGGACCCTCTGCAAAGGCTTCCAGGGGGTCCATGGGGGCCAAGGACCCCGAGGGCCCGGCATGGGGGGGAGGGTCCCCCCTCCTGCCCCGGGAGAGCAACCATGCAGCAAAGG